TCTTCAAAACAATATTCCTGTCCACACAACCACGTTCCAAATAACACAGAGCTTCTAAAACATTGAAATATTGATAAAAACAGTGACTATTCATCAACATTCCTATGACGAAAAACACACCCATGTTTATAGTCCCTGAAGTGGAGAACAGTACTTTCTCTTTGTATTGAGCAGAAAAATTGTTTGATATATTGGATGTCTGTGTAGCTACTATGGGTTTGTTATTAGATGATAAAGACCGCCTGTTCCAAAGCAACACTTCTTCTCTCCTGCGGATTCTGGGAGTAGTATATAGGTGACCGCCAGCTATGTAGCTATGTTATTCTTGACAGCCCCCCGAAGCCAATTACCCTTACCCTAACCACCAGAGGATGTGTGCCTAAACCAAAGTTATTGACCGGTTAAGCCTACAGCTGCGCACATAGGCCTCACGGGCCGACTTGCTAGCAGACGTTACGACCACCAATCCACTAGATGGCGCTGTCTCAAAAGAACTACGGTCCTAGAACTGTGGTCCCATGATTGCGGGGGTCCTGAAACTGCAGACTCCAGTACTGCAGATATAAAATATTGTAATCTGGTGAGAAATGAACCTAACGGCTCAGGGATACACAACTGATCAGAGCTGGGTGTAGGATGAGATGAGCGATATCTGGATGGCAATAACTGCAGCCATGTACAGTAATTACGGAGCTTATGTTGTGATAAAAGCTAATTTAACTCTTGGTGTTTGATGTGTGTTTGGTATGGATGTAAATGGTTGGTTTGACGTTCTAGCTGAGCCTCCTAGCTTCACGGAGGTGTGCAGCATGCATATGGTGACAAAATACTAGTATTGGACATGGATTTCTCTTTTGCATTTCGCGCAAAAATCGATTTTATTATTGTGTGTTTTTATTATTGTGTAACTTTGTTCAGCACTTTATAAATAAAATTGACTTTACTTTACTACGCTGAATACGTATGAAAAAGAAGTAGCAGTAGTCATCGTCTGGTTTCTTAGAAAACCATACATCCCATCTCTCTCTCTCTCTCTCTCTCTCTCTCTCTCTCTCTCTCTCTCTCTCTCTCTCTCTCTCTCTCTCTCTATCTATATTGTAAGTCGTTTTTGGATAGAAGAGTCATGTAAATGTTATACAGACTTTGTGGCTATTTATAATACGTCACCCGACTTTGTCACCTTTGGGCGGCACGGTGGTGCAGGGGTTAGCGCTATCGCCTCACAGCAAGAAGGTTGTCCCGGCCTTTCTGTGTGGAGCAGGTTCTCTCCCTGTCTGTGTGAATTTTCTCTAGGTGCTCCGGTTTCCCCCACCATCAAAAACATGTTAGGTAGGTTCTCCAGTCAGTGCCGTGTGACCTGGCATGGCACCTGGAGTTCGTCACCGGGCGCTGTACAGTGGCTGCCCACTGCTCCCTTCAGGGATGGGTTAAATGCAGAGCATGAATTTTGCTACATGTATGTGACAATAAAATACGTCATTCTTCACCTTCTTCTTTACTAATATTGTACGGCCACTAAAAGGTTGCAGCTACAAACAAATGTAGATATGGGTCGTAATAAAGTGCTGAACAAATTACTTATAAAGGTGTTTTTCTGGTGAGGACTCTTTCTATATTATTATTTAATAGGGGACAGTTCTCAATGAATGCATTTATACAATACACGTACTGAAAATTGTCCTGTTAAGTAGGTTATCATTTGACTACTGACACATTTTCCCCCATGGATCTTCTGCAGGAAGCACCATATTATGCTGGTCAAACACAGAGTAACAAGTGGGTCAGAAGGAGTCTACTTTCACATCGGTAGCACTCCTGCTTGTTTTCAAAGTTTCACCAGAAACTTACATAGCTGTATACATTTTTGTATCCAACTTTGAAATGGAATATCTGACTCTGTTCACACAGCCACAGAGTCTACAACAAGATTGTGTCTTGCATCTGCTGGTTGTGCTGTCCTGCTGCAGAAGCTGCAGGACATCTGGCCCTTAGTCTTGTTACTGCAGTGATTGGCCAGTGTGTCACATCTGAGATTTCTGACAGCACAAAGGAGAGTTTGATGAAAAATGCATAAATGCTCTGACTGCAGCTTGAGGGGGACTTCATAACATGTTTACAACTGCTTGTTTACTTTTACCAATGTTTTCCTGCAGGTGAGAAGGGATCACGTTGCTCCGATCTACGTCATCAACCTTCTAATTTCTGACCTCCTTCAGCTCTGCTACATGATCTTTGAGGTGGCAAACATTAAGGATGGGAATGTACGTAAAATCTTCTCTTTTATTTACTACTCCGGTCTGATTGCCAGTGTTGGGTTCATGGTCTGCGTCGCCCTGGAAAGGTATCTATCTGTCTATCCAGTATGTTTGGAGCTCCTAATGTGTCTGAACATTATATTAGTTTATAACTCTAAAGCTCCTCAAAGACTTTGTGTCCATCTTGTATTACAGGTATTTGGTCATCGTCCACCCGCTGTGGTCGCTTCAGACGAACCATCAAGACCTCTGTGGTGGTCTGTGTCCTGGTTTGGGCCCTTCCTCTTGTCTTTTTCATTAGTATATTTCTTGAGACTTATGTGGAATCCAACCAAGTCTTCATCATCATCATCCTCCTTCCCTTCCCACTGTTAATATTCTTCCTGGTTGGGACCTTCAGAGCCCTGTCTGCTTCCATCTCGGTCCCCTCTGATGAAAAACGACGAATGTGGAGTTTTGTTGCTGGTACTGCTTATTTACACACTGCTGTACCTGCCCACCATCATTATGATCCTGGTAGACCACTCGAACGATACCCTCTTCTACCTGTCTTTCATGTTAATTAAGTTGAGTCCTCTTGCAGACTTAGTCCTGTATGTCTTCATGAGGAGGGGGACCATAGACAAGCTTTTGGCCTCTGTGTGTTGTTGCAGAATGGACAGCAATGAAATCAGCAGTTCATCAGTATGAATGATGACAAAATTTCCACAGTAGCTTCATGTAGGCAGAGAAAGAGGGAGAGAGAGAAAGGGGAGGAAACAGGAGGAGAAATGGAGGAGACGAGACAGAAATGGGACTTGCTAATCTTTTTAATTTAGTTGTTTACTTTTTGTTCATTGTTAATAATGTATGTCTACTCAAAATATTGTTTTTTTTTTGTACAAAAAGGAAACTACTTATTTTGTTTATCTTTACTTAAAACTGAAAAACCTCCACTCTTCCAATCCAATAAAAATCAAAACTGTGAATGTTTGTCTTTGACCAACTTAGTGAATTAAAACCTGCAAATGTTCAACAGAATCTCTGCTGGTTGACAAATCTCTATTGTCTATATGAACATAAAGCCCAAACTGCTGCTACCAGGGAGGCATCCTGCATGTATGTAAACTGCTTGTACACTGTATGTTTCCCCTTTTTAAACGTGAGCTCATTATTACCTGAGATCCAACAATAACAAGCAGATTTCTCAAACTCTCAGACTGTGTCTTTAAATAACTTGTCTCTCTGCAGGGGACACTTTGCTAACCAACAAAATGCATTTTTGGAAGGTCAACTGCTAAAAGCTTAAAAGAATGACTTGATAAGCTGTACAGTTTATACAATTATTATGATAAAGTATATCAATTAGAATTTAATTAATCATACATGTTAAAAATTTATTATATATTAAATTCAATATTAATTATTTCAACTCCATTCAGAGCTCACAGATATTAGATAGATAGATCAGTAATTTCCTTCTCCTCAGACAGAAATACTGATCCCTTCCAAACTAACATCTTATATTTTATGCTGGATGTCTGACTGTGATAGGATTTCATTAACTCTGCTCACTTTTCTGAAAAGGTTTTGGCTAAACTGATGGATAAAAAACATTCACATTGACATACAGTCCTACCTGGAAGTCTGCTCATGTGAAGACAGAACTGAAAAGCCACAAGCTAAATGGCCTGTTGTAATGTGAGCTGCAGTAAAGGTTTCAATCCAGCTTGAATGGCAGGCAGCTTTCATATTTTCATGTGTGTAGATTAACAGGTTAAAGGAATGTCTTTTCTTGTAAACCAGCTTCAATAAACTCACACTGTGTAAAATATTGTCCAGTAGGCCAGAGGAGTACCTGTACCAGCTCAACATCAGTAGTCTATCTCTTGTAATTTACAGTCATTCATATTCATTCAGGAGATGCTTTTGTCTTAAGTGACGTTGAAATAAAAACGTTGGGTTGAGTTTAACCCTACTTGCTTTTGTCTTTGTGTAGGCCTATATTATACACACACACACACACACACACACACACACACACACACACACACACACACACACACACACACACACGCCTATATATAACAGAAGCATGCTTTAGATGATAAAAACAACTAACGTTACCCAGAAGCCCCTTTTCTCAATCTGCTCACGGACTGCAGCCACCTCTATTGTTCAATTTAAATAAAGCTCCATTTAAATCACATGACAGATACATTTTGGCAGGTTAAAAAATACAATTTTAACTTTTGCTAGTAAAGAATAAACCTCTCCATATTCACGCTGGTTATGATCTAAAGTATACACAACATAAAATACTTCCATGCCATCATCTTTGCATTATGGAGGGGGTTATATAATGGTAGACTGCATGTCCAGCCTCCTAGGACAAGTAGCATTTTTTTTTGTTTGTTATAAAAGGCGCTATTTAAATGTAATGCATTATTAAGTTAGGATGATTATTGTTCACCATTTGAGCAGGGGGAATTATCACAATATCCAAAGGCTATCATTTGCAGTATTATCTACTAGTGCTGCATTCAGTTCAATGCACATATCGAATCCAAAGTCCAGCTTCCCCGCGGCCAGTGGCCTTTTTATATACAGTCTTATGCCAGGGGCGCACTGCCTAACAGAGGGTGCTTAAACGCGCCATTACCATTGGTTATTTGCGGGAGATTTACTGATTTCCAACCATCAAAGGAGCTCGTGAACGCAGCACAAAAAACAACGCATGTGCTGTTTGTGCTTGAACCTGATTGGTCCGTTTCGAACTCAGACCGCGGCGGTGTGTTGTTTTGTTTAGTTAGCTTAACGTTAGTTAGCACACAACAGAACATCCTTCTGCCTGTGCACTTAATGTCCCAAATACAACTATCAGGTAGGCAATGTTGTTGAGTAATAACACAGTGTGAGTGTCGTTGATTTTATTTTCCACAAAACTAAAGTTAAACGGACATTTGTTAAACTATGTTAGAAGTTGACAGGTGCGGCTATATTCAGCTAACTAGCTAACTAGCTAGCAGGTGGCTTAACATAACTTACTGTCCAAAGGAAGGTAAAGGTAACGCAGCAGGCGAGCTAGACTTGCAAGTTTGTCTTTGGTGTAACGTTAGAGTAAAAAGCAGGCCAAGTGTGGTTACGTGACCGTTTTCATTTTTGATACTGTTGCTTTACTTTTTTGCAGGATGATGGATTCATGTCTGAGCGACAAAGACAAACAGGTTGAAGATTTGAAGAGATATCTCTCATCAGAGTTCAGCACCTTACCAGACTCACAGGTAATCCCGGTAATGTCAGAGAGGCGCATTTACATTGGTGCCATTATTTTAAATCAATAAGAACACACTTTATTTGTAACTCACTTTGTATTTAAACAAATCCCAAAGTGGCACAGGATTAAAAAAAACAACTGATAAGTGCTAAAATAAAATACATAGATGGCACAAAAATAAAAACAATTAAGCAAAGAAAAGTCCAGAAAGCTTTGAAGTGTTAAGGCCGCTTTTATAAGCATGCACAGACTGTGGTGTCCTCAGGGAGAGCATGCCACAGACTGGGAGTGGCTGAGCAGAAAGCCCCATCTCCCATCATATGGAGCTTGGTCCTGGGATCAATACTTTTTTGGGTATGAGGAATTTGTCCCCCATCACTTACATTGAAAGTGCATTAGGATGAGAAGGCAAAATTACAGGAAACCCCTCTTCTGTGTTCACATGGGCGCACCTGACTGTTGTTTTAAGATCGACTTGAACCTGTTCTAGACCACGGTGGCCTCAAGCATCTTCCATCGTGCACAAGGTGTAAAGTGGTGACAGCTAGTCCACCTCTTGGATTGAAATGAATTCCCACAGAATTTTTAACCTGCTAGGGAGATGGCACACTTTTTAATTGTATGTTTATTCTATTTGTTCAGACACCATCTATAACTGTTGAACTCCCAAATGATGGTTGGTTGTTATGTTTTCAGTTATCTAGTGGCCATCTGCATATGGCCGCCCACCCAAAGTCTAGGTTTTGCTTTAGGTTTCTATCTGTTAAAAAGTAGTTTGTCCTTGCCATTGTTGCCAATTGTTTACTCATGCTGGGAATTGTTGGGTTTCTGTAAACAATATTGTAAAGAGTCTAACTAGACCTGCTTTACATGATTTAAGTGCTCTGGGATAGCTTCTGTTATGATTTGGTGCTATATAAATAACACTTAATTAAATTGAATAAAGTGAAAATGTTTCTTACCAAACGATCTCTCACAGCTAACCCATATTTGTTCTTCAACCTAATGCCTTCCTTTTACTTTCCTCCTGATGTTTTTGATTAAACTCTGATGTGTTGTGCAGCATTCGAGCATCGAGGACAGAGAACACCTACAGGTCTACCTCCGTATCCGGCCCTTTTCCTCAGCAGAGAGTAATAATGGAGAGTCGCAGGTAAATTAAAATATATTAATGTGCTAATGGGAATTGCTAAGAAATTGATACCATTGTGCTTTGTAGCTGCTTGTTTTACTTGTCAAGTAATGACTTAATGAAAACAGTCTTTTCTTTATGTTTCAAACTTTCTGCTGTAAAATCCTGTAAAGAGAAAATACAGAATCATTCTAAGAGTGTCTTCTTTTTGTTTTTAACAGGACTGTGTTACCATCGAGCCTCCTGACACTGTTCTTCTTAAGCCTCCTGGCTTGTCCCTCTCAGCGCGGCTCAGCACTGACAAATCCTTTCTACAGACTGGGCAGCGCTTTCAGTTCTCTCAGGTTGGTGTTTCCTGGTAGATAAGAAAGCCAAACAAGTTTAAAAGTTTCCTTTCTAATACTTATGTGTTGATGTTTTCTTATTGTTTTGAGTATATCGTCAATTGTATACGATCCATTTGAGTCTTTGTCCATTCAGTTTTTAAACTGAAATCAAGCTCACAGGCCAGAAAATGTTAAAGACATCCAGATCTAAAAGATGGAGTGTTTTTCATGATTACCTTTTACACTTTATTGATAAGCTTTTTTTCTTCCTTTTTAATAGGTGTATGGTCCTGAGACAACGCAGAGAGAGCTGTTTGAAGGCACAGTAAAAGATTTAGTGAAAGATGTTTTCGAAGGGGGAAACTCGCTGGTTTTCACATATGGAGTCACCAACGCTGGGAAGACCTTCACATTCTTAGGTCTGTTCCACTCTCCCATAGATTATATAAATAATAATAATGACTGAAAGTTTATTTAGAGTTTGGACTATTGTTCTTCAGAAGAGGATGTTTGTAGATCAGATGCAGGACAACTTTTTTTTAGCAGTAGCTTTTTGCCACCACACCCTGTATAACAGGTAACAGGTGTGTCTGATCAGTGTAATAGCCACATGGAGTTAAATGTTTTTCGGTATAGCTCAAGCTGTACAATCTTATTGTAGTAAAAACTTTACCCTAGAAAGGTGGCATGACTTTGTTATTGTAGATTTTGCCTGGTTTGGTCCTACATTCGTAGCTTGCCTAGCGACCTGGCTAATGGTCAGGAGATCTCTGAAGTCAATAATTGTTCTTGTGCAGCTGTTGGCCTTAATCTTAAAATGAGAGTGGAATAGAAGTGGCCTAACAGAAACGCTCTTGTCACTCCAGGTCCTGATGCCGATGCTGGTATCCTGCCCAGGTCTCTCGATGTCATTTTCAGCAGTATTGATGAACAGGTTTTCAGCGGGATGAGCATCAAACCTCACCGCAGCCGAGAGTTCATAAGGCTCACCAGGGAGCAGCAGGCTGAGGAAGCAGTGTTCAAGAGAAACCTCTTCAGACAACTTAAAGAGGTAACTTGTCTGCCCGAGGCGCTTTATCGCCCACCCTCCACCCAACTTCGAAATTCTGGGTTTTCCGCCCAACTTCGAAATTCCGGGTTTTCCGACCTGAAATTTTTACTGTCAGGCAATCTGTCTGTATTGATTCAAACAGGTGTGTATTTATTCTGTCAGAGGGGCGTCAGACTGACAACTAAAAACTGTGGCTGAAGCGTCACCTGCGTAGGCAAGACCTTTGGTGTGTGAAATCAGAGGGTGCAAAGGAGAGACTGATTAGATGGTGACATGACACAGCTTACTGTGACTGTTGAAAAAAGATGTGTTTTCATGTTTTTCAAATGATTTGTTTTGGAAAGAATTATTATGCGCAGGAAGTAGGGTTGTTCAAGACACTGTTGGACAATCTGACAAACCCCTTCAGAGCTCTAAAAGTTCATGTAGCCACTTACACTCATGAATTACTACATAATGTATGTCACTAGTAGGCCTGTCATTTTCACTTTGCTTAAGGCTTGTGAAGTACAAGTGGACATCACTCTCCCCAGACATAAACTCTTAATGCCTTTTAATATTAAAGCTCAGGAGGAGCTGTAATTATTCTTGTGAAGCACTTTGCTCTTACTTGTGACATTACTCTTAAAAGTACTATTTAAATAAAATATTGAAGAACTGTCATTTATGCATTTTTAACTTTTTTTCCCCTCTGCCCTTTTCAGAGCGAGAAGAGCAATGCCGGCCCGTTGAACTCAACCAATAAGACTCTCCTTGAAGGCAAGATTTAGTTGTCTTTTATTATGAAAAAATAAACCTGTGCACTGAGATAATGTTTTACTAATTCTGACTGACAGCACTGTCTTTATATACAAAATGTACTGCTTAACCCCAAGGCAGGAATGCAGATTTACAATTCACATCCCTTGATACTGCATATACTATAGCGTGTGTTGCTACTACAGTGTGATTATTTTAAGTTTGTCTCTGTTGCAGGCCCCTCTATGCTGCAGACGACTGCAGCAGCAGAGGACAAAATCAGCCTGGAGGTGGAAGCGCTAACAAAGTTCTCTGTGTGGGTTTCTTTCTGTGAAATCTACAATGAAAACATTCACGACCTCCTGGAGGTGGTGCCCAGCGGGGCCCCGAGGAGGACTGCACTGCGCCTGTCACAGGACGTCAAGGGCAACGCCTTTGTGAAAGGTTTGAAGGGAGGGCGGGACAAATACCACATTACTTGACAGAAGTCTGAAGTATTAAGATTTAAGCGAGTATTTGAACTGTGGCAACAGTCTGTTTCTTTTTAATCACAAATTTCATCAATACACTATAAAGCTAGATTGTGTTACAATGTTTAAAAATTACTGAATTTCCTTGCAGCTTTTGACATATGGCATACGTATGTAAAATACATTAATTTGGGCCTTTTCCTGTGAAATGTTGATGAATGAGCAGCCATGTGTCTCAAAATATAGGGGTGATCCTCCAAACTAATAGAAAGATCTTCGAATTCTTTAACTCTTCCTACTGTGCCGTTGTGTAAAGAAAATAAAATAAGGACCATTTACTGTTAATTAACAGTAAATGTTTGTGCATTTGTATTTAGATCTGCGTTGGGTTCAGGTAAATACTGCGGAAGAGGCTAACAAGGTGATGAAGCTGGGCAAGAAGAACCAGAGCTTCTCCTCCACCCGGCTCAACCAGCTCTCCAGCAGGAGGTAAGGACATCAGCCACCAGCATTTACTTTCAAAATACGACAAAATTAGAGAATGTGCCCACATTTAAATCTCTTTTACATGTAATTTAAGAGCAGACCTGTTTGGGCTTGGGAATGTCTACCCTCCCAGTCATCTCTCCACTTTTAAACCCCTTCTTATACTTTCTCTCTCTTCACAATCTCACCTCCCTTCTTATTTTATTTCTATCCGTTTCCTCTGCACTTGCTCGAGTGTGGTTGTAGTCATACTGAAACACACACATGTGAAAAATTGAGCGGAATAAGTCTGAGCTGAGTCTTGGAAGCTTTTTTTTTTTTTGGTCCACTTCACAACAGTGTTGAATGCATCGTATTTCTGTTTTTGTGTGTATTTCTGTTTTTTCTACAAAGTAGGGTTGAACAATTATTGAAAATCTCAATATGGCCTACTGCACTTTTCAAATCGCAAGAGGTGGAATATTTGTTAAAGGGAAAATGTGCAACAAAATAACTTTCTTTTTTTTAATTTTATTTTTTTAAATAAATTAAATATTGTCATGCTGCAGAGATGTCCTGGCCTACACATCATATTCTATAAATATAATAATGTAGAAATGATCAGTCCAACTATTGTATCGCAATTCCAATATCAGTCAAAATAATCACACTTAGAGACTTTAAAAAAATAATTCGGACATTATACAAAGTTACTGAAATGTATGTTTTCTTTCTCTTTCTTCAGTCACAGTATTTTCTCCATTCGCATATTGAGGATTGAGGATAGTGGGACTCCGAGGGTCCAAGCAGTCAGCGAGTGAGTAAAACTTTAACTGGCATATAAACATGGATTTGGGTGAGTGTTGCTGTATGATTGTGATACAAGGCAGCATTGAAAAAGCATGCATGTGTGCAAAAATAAAATCTTCTCATGAAAGAGTTCTCATTTCCTTTTACGTGGATTAATGTGTTTGTGCTCAGGTTGTGTCTGTGTGACCTGGCTGGCTCGGAGCGATGCGCCAAGACTCAGAATAAAGGAGAGCGTCTGAAAGAAGCTGGAAACATCAACACCTCACTGCTCATCCTGGGAAAATGCATCAACGCACTACGACACAATCAGCAGGCCAAGTGAGATCATTACCTGTCTGTCATTCTGTCTGTGTAGAATTGATTTAAAATCAAAAGACTTCACGTACTATGAAAGTGTCACTCGTAGTGTTGAATTGCAGATGGGAGTCTAATTCTGAAACTATGTGGAGGTTTTAGCACACGGTTTTTTGTTTTGCTGTATAGTTGTGTTATGGCTTTCCTCAACCTCCAAAGGTAGCTGAATAGATCCACCTGCTGTAAACAGCCTATCGAGCACCAAACAGAAGACGGACAAAGTTTGCAACTAGCTGGGAAAGAAAGTTAAAATGCAGAAGTTCAAGAGCCAAATACTTATCTTAGTTGGTGGAGTTTGCTGTAACAACTTAATAAGTTGGTGATATGTGGTGGCTGTACGCCTGTCAGCTTATCTACCCCCTAGTGGCCACTAATGTATTACTGCAGCTTCAAAGACAATTTGTCTTAAAAGTTATCAGCAAAAACAGTTGCACATATTTCAATGCCAACTAAGCCGTTTTTTATGTCTGTTCCCTCCCTCAGGCTGCTCCAGCATGTTCCCTTCAGGGAAAGCAAGCTGACCCACTACCTGCAGGGCTTCTTCTGTGGTCGAGGTAAAGCCTGCATGATCGTCAACATCAACCAGTGTGCCTCCATGTACGACGAGACTCTCAACGTCCTCAAATTCTCTGCTGTGGCTCAGAAGGTGTAGACACATTATTATGCTTTACTCTCTGAGCTGCAGTTTAATTAAAGTCCTCCATCTTTACCCCACCCCTGCAGTCTCACATTTAACTCTCAAGTCAGCGGAAGTCATCTCAAACGCACCTATAGCCTACATATGTTTTTCACTGTGTGAGAAAATTAATTATTGGCATGAGAACGTGTGAAAAGGGTCAATTGCAAGAGTCTCGCAAGACACTTTTGACCTCAAAGAGAAATATTGTCACTTTATAATATATAAATATTATTAAGTTCTTCTTTCTGCTCCTGTCTGTTTGCAGGTTGTGGTTCTATCCACCAGGCCTCTTCCCATCATGTCCCAGAGGTCCACCAGTGATGTATCCTTCGCTCTTCGGTGCAACAGGAGGAGCTCCCTGATTGGCTATGATAGTAGCCTGGAGGATGTACAGGTGGGGTGGAGACTTCTGCTCATGCTTTCTTATATTTATACAAATATAATATACAATATTCTATTTAGTGTTTTCCCTAGGATGGAGTTGTAGCAGCGGAGGTGAAGCAAAATTTTTGTCTGAATATAAAACCCCAACACAACATGTCTCAGCAACATTGCTCTGGTGACCATGAGCATGCGATGCACCTTTTAGAATAGCTAAAAATGTCGTGGTTGGGGGAGTGGGGAAAATTTTATGTTTTCCAATGAAAAATATGTAATTTCACATCACATTGAACAATTATTTTCACCATATCTCTGAACAAATAGTTGGAAAAGTTGGAGCAGATAATAAATCAGTCTACTGGGGAGTAACTACAACGTTTAGATTTGGGGAAAGTAATTTGGTTGGTTATGATGCTCCACAGTGATTTTTGGCCCAGTGTTCATGTTTGTCTTTTGTGTCTTCATTTTACAGCTTTTGACATAATATAAAAAAATTAGGCTACATGAGAAACCTCCTCCCTTCTGAGGTGCATTTTATTTGCACATTAAAATCCAAAAAGAAATGTCTCCTCATTCTCTTATAAGGACTAGTTTACATCACTAATTAGCTTTACTAATCTCAGCTCCTCCAGTCACCTCCGTCCTCTCTTTTCTTAACGACCACTTTTCAGACTCATAAGAAAACTGAAAAATAATTTGATCAGTCTGTACAGGACAGAGCTGAAGGCTACGCCAGTTTACTCTCAGTTTGTAAGTGATGTTCCCAACATTGAATAAGTAGGTAGTGTGTTGAAAGAAAGAGTGAAGCCCTGAAGTTCTTTCCCTAATAGCTACTGCATATCAGTCCTGAGTCAGTGTTTTATCTCTGGGTGCTGTTTGTGCTCACATCTTTGACTTCAGTGATACATTTTTCTGCAGCTATTGCTTGTTTAACTCAAGCACACATGTACTACATGCATGGTGCAGTGAATGCGGACTGCTCACACATCGTTAGAACAACAATTAGGATATTATCAGAGACTATACATATCGCACACCCCTAGCCGGCAGTTTGAATCTTGCTTTTTTTGGCTTCAGTCATCACCAAATAAATCTACAGTGTGTTATTAAATTCATTTGTCCAGGAGGATGAAGATGATGAGTGTGAGGAAGAAAAGAGCCTGATGGAGGATACAATGGATCAGACCTGCAATGAAGAAGACAGCGATGAACACGATAATGATAAAATTCTCATCGGTAGAAAGATGCACCAGGTCAGTCCCACACCATTTAATACCTTGCCTTTAACAAAGAAGTTGCCATTAATTGCTCAAAATATCAGATATTTAAAATTTCACAAAGTATAAGATCACTCGGGAAACATCAGGTAGGTAAGAATACATTTAGGGAAAATAAATAAAAGTAAAGTATTGATGTGCCTCAAGCAATGATGGCAAGGCAAATGTAAATGCTCAGTATTTGTATAGCGCCTTTCTAGTCTTTTCGACCACTCAAAGCGCTTTTACACTACATCTGCATTCACACACATTCATACACTGGCAGAACAGCCGCCAGGGGCAATTCGGGGTTCAGTATCTTCCCCGAGGACACTTCGACATGCAGCCTGGAGGAGCCGGGGATTGAACCGCCGACCTTCCGATTAACGGGCAACCTGCCGTCGATTGTAACTAAATTAATTAGTCTTCGTCGAGAAACCATACTGTTGGTTTTTAGTGAACTTTGTTTTATATGGTGTTGCCCTCTCATTTTGATTAGACAGGTAGTCTAGAGGTAGGAAAGGAGTCTCTATAGTACTGCTCATTGCAGGCTGATCAGTGTGTTGTTTAAATTTTCTCTTAAAGTTTTCAGTTTCTTCATGTATGAATAGACTAAATCATCAAAGTTTTATTACAAAGGACATGTAATGAATATATTCAGTAGTCTTACTGAGGGAACAAAACTTTTTCAATTTTAAAACTCTATTGTTGTGTATTGCTATGTGTTGTCCCGTTCCTCAGCGGCAGGTGGCGCTGTTGAGACAGCTGCAGCTACAGCTGAAGAAGGAGCGAGCGGAGAGCCTGCTCATGGAGGCGCGAGTCAGAGAAGAAATCAGCAGAGAGTTCTCAGAGCTCTTCTCTGAGATGCAGAATGACTACAAGTGAGACTTTCCCCCCCTCTTCATATATGTCCCGGAAAAGTTTGGGTCTTATATATAAATAATACAAATATGTGTTTGTGTGTGTGGTTCAGTGACCGCCTGGCGAGGGAGAGAGAAATCTTAGAGGAGCGAGCAGAAAGGAGAATGGAGATCTTCAAGAACCTCATTGACAAAATGTCCACCACTGGACCCAGTCCAGATGCACAAGCCATGGTAACACAATCAGTCTTTCCCTGGGATCAACCCTATTGTGTGTTTTGTTTACTTATTGACTTGTTAAATGTTATGCATGCAAAAAAGAGGTTGTTGTAGATTGCTATTCCATATTTTTACATTTATCTAGGTTTATGTCTGGCACCCAGGCACTAAAGAAAATTCCTGTGTAAAAACAACTTAGCTGTTTCTGATTCTGACCGCTAACAAAGATTTAATGATTAAAACATGAATTAAAACAGCAAATATGAAGAGGCTGTATTTCATACCTGTCGCACTGCATGTTGTGCTGCACTGGAACTTGACACACACACCCTGTTCTCAGTAACAGAGTTGCCCTAATTATTGAGTTTGACCTGTCTTTGACCTGCTTCCGCCTACAGCTCGTCATTGAAATAATAATGACGGCAGCTGGAATTATTTTCTTTGCTGTGAGAGCAAAGGGAATTGCAAGGTTTCATTGCAAGACAAGTTATTTGATCTCTTTTTGACATCACATGTTAATTACCCAAGGCGAAATTTGTATGTAGCTACTCAAGTTGGCACAGGTTAAGTGTCTGTTTCCAGCCCTCTCTGGCAAGTGTGCTTGAACCACCTCGGGGAACTAAGCCTGGATATTCTGACTGTCAGGATATGCTCACTAATCTCCCTGACTAACTTCTCTGATGTGCTCTTTCTTCTGCAGGACAAATCTCTGGACTGCTCTGAATTGGCAGGCATAAAGAAAGCCACTGAGGCTGCTCATAAATGTCTGGGTTCAGGCCGAACGGCGGCTCAGGGAGACATAAGAGACGCTGTAGAGGAGCTGGAGAGGAAGGTGTTGGAAATGAATGAGCACCAACAGAAAGTCCAGCAGCCAATGGCTCACAATGGTAAAAACACACAAATCCATCTCTGTCTTTATATGTCAGAAAGGCAGATGCTGGATACAGATGGATGAAGGAAATACAAACTGAGCTGTTCTTATAGTTTGTGGCATCTAGAGGACTGATGCACAGATAAATGGAAACAAACATCCAAGTTCAGGACATTCATGGGTGTTTTAATTTAGACCCAGTACAAATTGAAAGATCAGTTCACTCATATCACAATTATGGTCCTCAGAAAACTATATATGTCTTCATTAGTTACAAAGACAACTGTTAATCCATAGAGACGGTTTATGGAAAAGTTTTCAAATGTGATTTTCTTTTGTCAGTGCTTTTGAACAACACAAATTAAGTTCTGTTCACCACATAGATCTCAAAACCTCATTAAATAAAACCAGAACTATTTGCATGGCTTGGTACCAGTAATGGTGTCAGGGGGGAAAATATTTTTATAATTTAGGTGAACTGACTTGAAGGGGTTGGTTACCCTTAAACCATGAAGAACATGCAAACTATTTCAAATCAGTCGAATGAAAGAAGACATATGAAATGTCAATAATTCGACATGGTGGTGCACAATGTATTTTTAAACTGTTAAATGGCTTTCTGTGATTTATTCTGACATTAGCTGTGTTTCCATCAATTTTTTTTACGTGCATTTTCAAGTATGTACATGTTGAAGTGAATGGGAGATGGAAACACATTTGCCGAATAAGTTCTGACGTAGCGAACTTGTAACTCATGTCTGATCAGCTGTTTTAGTAGTTTTGCCGGATATCCCGTCATAACATGCGGAGACATGGCTGGTAGCAGTTTGCCCGCTTAAAAACACATTCCTGAGGACCTCTCTCCATTTTTCAATGGCTGGTTTTGTTTCTGGTTTGGAACCCATACACCTTGTGTATTACAGCCATGTCTAACGTCAACTACTGACGTAACTACGCTTGCTGTAGCCTGATTTATTCGCTCCAAACCAGCTGATGGGAACGCACATATTTCGGATTTACTGCTTCTTTGTTTGCGAAATTTCAAAAATCCGCTTAAAATTCGCATGACGATTGGATGGAAACATGGCTATTGACAGTTGGATGCCAGTGTGTCACCTGCTTTACTGTAGCATTTGTGCAGCATTTACTGTGGGTGGCTAGGTTATGTAGAAATCAATAAACCCATACATAAAAACACAAAAATAATCACTCTTAAGATCCTCATATACTCAATATTAAATGTGTTTCTTTATTTTCTGTGTTATTTCGTAGGTGAAGCCAGCGGAGTAGAGGAAGAGGAGAAGAGGAGGCTTCTCTTTCAGCTCCAGGAGAAGTCGTCAGAGGTTGCTCGGCTCGAGAAACAAGTGGGAGACCTGCGGAGGGGGGCAGAGCTGGGCTCGCAAAGTCGCTCCATGCTGGTCGAGGAGGAGAGCTCACGTGAGAGAGAACGGCTGCAGGTAAGATCCCTCGGCATAGGAGCACATAACCAGGAGGAGGTGCTGAATGCCCTGAAAGAGAGAGAGGCGATGTCATCGGTATCCTGATAACTCTCAACAGAGCCGGTTGTCAGTAAAGGGTGAATTACCATCATCTCCGCTATTACAGTAAAAGGTTTTGGTTTTATTTGGAGATACATCTTTTAATTTCCAAAAAATCCCCTCGTCATGGTTCTGCAGCTCTTTTCATTTATGCTGCCACAGACTTAATGTAATGTTGATCAATGAGCGTCTCCACTATCAGTTGGAGGTTAACGTCTTTCTCAGTAATACCTTTGCAGCAGGAGGGTAAACGGTTTCATTTTGTGTTCGTCTTACTAACCCCTCGGCCGTCACCGCCCTTCATAGTGTTAGTCTGATGTTTGTTATAGGGCCAGGAAGGTATTAGGCTTATTCATATCTAGGTCACCTGGGTTCACAGATCAGATCATTTAAAATGTATTGGTTTGTTTATTTTTTAACATAATTTGAAGTCACTATAAATGTTTTAAGTTTGCCTGGGAACTAGAACATGACTGTGGATCTCAAAGGACAGTCATTTGGCTTTAGGAGGTAATGCACCACATTTTAATTTTATTCAGAATCACCTACCCTTATTAAGGCAAGACTTTCCATGACTTTCAAACTTTCTGCATAGAAAGAATTTTGCTCAGTCACCAGGAAAAGGTCGATTACAGATTTCACCAGGAAAACATGATATTACAATAAACTATACAATAATCTTGTTATCCTCTCAAAATCAGTGCTTCTCTGCATTTTATCCTCTAAACAAGGAAGATATAGTGTTTTTATTTCTAAACCGTGCTTAAAGGGCAGCAGTTGCTACCTGGAAAGTATGACATCCTAACACTGATATACTTTAGGAAATGGTCAACAGTAGGGTTGGGGCGATTCATCGACGTAGTAGACGTAATCGATTACGTAAATACTTAGACTTGCATTTATGTGCGTTGAAGCGTTGCTGCGGTGTTGGCAGGGATTCCCCTGGACCGCGCATTCGACTGTCTGAAGTTTGGAAGTATTTTAGACAGACACTCAACAGCGTGCTGCTCCGTGAGCTCTGTGAACTAGAAATAGCTTGACTGCAGCACAACTGCTGTCCACGAATACGTGAAACGAAAGTATCCCGGTGCACTTTGTCCAGACGGCAGCACCGTAAATCGTGTTTACTTTCTGTCTCCACACAAGCACGGCTCATTATCGGCACGAGGACATGTAGTCTGCTAAAAACTATTTTCAAAGTATTTCTTCATCGCCTTCATGTTAAAACTAAATCATGCCTCGCTGCTGTCATGGTAACGTAAGGTTACACCGTGTGCCATCTAACATTCGGCCGTTTCATATATTCTTTCTCTTTATTTAACGGCCACCTATGAGCGCGAAAACAGCTGAAACAAACATTACAGACGATCTGACTTCTTTGCCCCACACTGATTATCATACTGCATTACTCAATATTGAAATAAATCCATGTCAGAAACATTTAAAGTTTGAAGGAGCCTAATTAATGTCTGCTCTTGTTATTATCACAACACATCAGTGACGTGGAAAGTCAACAGGTTAAACCTTTCAAAAACCCCCTCATATAGGCTGCCCTGTGAACATAACATGTTTTACTTAACTGCAAGAGTTGTTCATGTCTGTTTTCAGTGACACTCTTCCCACCCTAGTTTATTCAATGCATGTAAATAAATCAATACTCCTATTACCTAGGAGGTGTTGGCTGCCCTTGAGAAGGAGAAAGAAGGCGCCCTCGCTGCCTTGGAGTACCAGACTATGGGAAAAGAGGAGGCGCTGGCCTCCTTAGAGGAGGAAAGGAAAGCAAGGGAGGAGGCCCGTGCCACACTAAAGGAGCTGAAGCAAAGCAAAGAGGAGCTTCTAGCGTCCCTTAAAGAAGAGAGAAAAGGCAACGAGAAAGCCCTAGAAACTGAGAGGAGAGCCAAGGAGGATGCGATTGCCGCCCTTTCAGAAGAGAAACAAAGCAGGGAGGATGTACTTGCTACTCTTGTTGAAGAGAGGAGAAGCAAAGAGGAGGCTCAGTCTGCTCTGGAGGTGGAGAGGAAGGAGATGAGCAGGCTGGTTGAGGAGAGAGAAAATAAGCAACAGGAGGGTGATGCTCTTCGACGAGAAGTCAAAGAGCTGACTGCCAAACTGGAAGCCACAGTGCAGCAGGTGGGCCACAGCATGATTTAATATTTAAATCCACCACCCAGCGAAAGGGGAAGAATGTATAAAAGCATAAAATTGTCAGTGATTTATGAAACTATGATACTTACCTCATGATATATTGTTTATGTTAAAATCTGATTCCCCCGCCAGAAAGTTGTTTAGCATGTGTCTTTATAATAATGGTTATTTGTGTTTCATTAAATGGTGTTGGTGCCTAAAGACTAAAATAAAGTGATATTTGTGAAACACCACAGGTGACCAGCGAGACAGAGAGAGCTGAACAAGCGTTAGTCCAGCTACAAACTGCTCAGGCACACCTGGACGAACGCTCTAAGGAGATCCAGGAGAAAACTTCCCACATCCTCGCCCTGACGCAGGAAGTTCAAAGCCTGAAACGGGAACTACAGACTTCAGCAGTATCTTCTGGTTGTGTCAAAGATCAGCTTAGAGAGGAAGTCTCAGAGCTTCGGAAGAATGTGACCGAGGAAAAGGAGAAATATGAGAGCAAGCACAGACAAATGCTGGAGCTGGAGCACAAGCTAGAGCAGGCAAACGAACAGTTGGCACACAAACAGCTGATCTCCGACCAGCAGCTGGAACAGTTCACAGAGAAGCTGAACCAACAAGATGCAGCTTCAAAACAGCAAGTTGAAGAGCTGAAAAAGAAGCTTCGGGAGCAAGAAGAGAAATCACAGCAGCCACTGGATGAGCTCACATCCAGGCGCGAATCCCAAGAATGTGCTGCCAAAGAAGAAGTGGAACAGCTGAGAGCCAAACTCGAGGAACAAACGCAGGCCTCCAAAAAGCAGGTAGAGGAGCTCAATGAGAAGCTGCGAGAACAAGAAGCCATATCACAACAGCAGCTGGAGGAGTTAAAACACAAACTGAGTGAGCAAAAGGAAACCTCCGGCAAACTTTTAGATGATCTCAAGCAAAATCTCAGTGATCAGGAGAGAACTGCAGAGCTCCTCAAGGTCGAACTAGAAGAAGCTAGGTTTAAAGGTTCAAGCAGTTCCTGTTGCTCTGCTGCTGAAGAAGATCTCAAGAGACTGAACTCCGATCTCCAAACTGAGATCGCGACCCTGAGGGCAAAGGTTTCCAGCGTGGAAAACACGGAGTCGTCTCAGCTAGCCTCTTCAGAGATGGAGAGAATGCTAAAAGAAAAGGACAGACAGGTGGAGGAGAAGCTGGCAGAGGTGGAGAAAGCGTCTGCAGAGAGAGAGGCAGAGCTGCAGAAAAAGCTGCTGGAAAAGGAGGCACAGGTGAATTCCCTGCAGAGGAGCCTGAAGGAGGCGCAGGAGCGGCGGGAGGAGGAGGAGACCCAAGCTGTCCAGGCGGCCCGGACCAGGGAGGTGGAAAGGCGCAGAGAGCTGCTGGCTGTGGCGCATGAGGCCATCGCTCAGAAAGATGCAGAGCTGGAAGAGAAAGCAGAGATCATCAGCAGGTAAACGTCATTTCCTTTACACATCAGCGTGGGAAATTACGTCTTCAGAATTCTTGTAAAGGCTAGATACAGTTTGATTATAAAACATACATGCAATTTTAACAATACTTTGTACTGTAAAACCTAGTAGAGCCTTTCACCCTACACTTAGCTCAGCGTTACGGCTCTGTCAACCCCAGCCTGACAGCTGATTGACACTTGCAATCTGGAATATGTGATAATCCTGCTCCTAGATAGACTGAACATCTCTCTGAAGAAGGTCTGCCCCTGACTCTTTCTGAAGTATCCTCGGTGTTGGATCACAAAAATCAGATTTGTCATCTAATCAAATCTTAAAATCAAACTTCTCTGAGTATTCAGGTGGTGTGGATATTGATGGGTTCTGATTTTCAGGTGTATCTGTAGCCCAGGACTTATTATTTATCCTGGTTTAACGAATATAATCTTTACATAAGGATGTAGTAGGGAAGTAGGAAATAAATTTTTGTCTAGTTTAGCAGGAGAACATCAACAAAAATCCTCAACTGTAAACCAGAGAGTGGAAGTTTACATAAGTCCGTGTAAAACATCTGTTTTCAAGGCTGCTTTGTGATTGGAAGTCATTTTGGACGGCAGTACATCTGGGGCATCTTTTGGTTACAAAGCTATTGTATTTATCTTAAATATTAAATGCCGATTATTTGCTTTCACAATCGTCCAAATACATAAATACTTAAATCATTTAAAATAAAATAAGAGGAAACAAAGCGGCTAGACTTAAATGCTTCGCTGTGACACAAGGGATAAACATTGTCTGCTCTTCTTAACCCAAAATGTATTCGCTCCTCTCAGATCCCCTGTATTGCAGTCGTACTTCAACAGAATTGGATACATTCAATTCCCTTAGTATTTTTAATGGTAGGCTGCTGTTAACGTTCCTATTTTTTAGGACTGCAGCCTGAAATACTCAAGAAAATAGTTACATACATACATATTTGTTGATTTTATGGGTCCTGTGCTATCATTCTCTCTCAAAGTCCCTTGATAAGATAATATATAATATGTCTATTACAGACAGTATTCTTTATTCCTCTGTATTGACAAAACCCATCAACTAAATAAGTCAATAAAATCTTACGGTAATAAAATATAGTCAGTTTGTGTCAATAGTCACAATGAGCCTGATGACAGATTGTGGTTTAACAGTAATTGAAACAGTCCTTCATTATTTTCATATTTATAATTCACAATAAAAAAAGAATATTTGACAACATAACCATCTCCAGAAAGATGTTACTAAAAGAATGGAAAGTGCTGTAAAAAAAAACGTTCTTTCTTAGATCTTCTAAACTAAAATGATTTATTACTGGTCACGATGTTGAATAAAATAAGTCTTGTCTCGGTGGCAGCCTTTTAGGATGCTGGATATTTGATATCTAAAATGTAATACTATTATAATGGACGGCATCAATTTAACTGTCAGAAAGCAGTCACTCTAAATATGTTGTTGTGATACTGGAGTTCATTATCCTTCCCGGAGTTACAGAGAAAACCAATAAACAGTGAGACCCCGTCTCTTTGTATTACCGTGCCTCGTTTTGTACTAGATGAAATTATTCTGTCAATGTGAAATACATTTCCTCTGTATTATCTTGCCTTTCATCTCTCCACAAGTACCGCGGTGTCCAGGAAGAGTTGTATTTCCACCCACTGCGTTTAAGATCCATTGTGTTGTTAGATCACAGCGTACTATCCTGTCTCTTTTAAAGCACTGGTAGCTCCTCATTGTTATCTGGTCTTACTTTCTCAGACTAAAGGAAAATGCCAAGCAGGAGTCTGAGAAAGTCAAGAGCCTCAGCCTCGACCTTCAGAGGAAAGAGGACGACACTTCAGACCTCAGAGAGAAACTAGCCGACTACAAGAAGCAGATCCAGCAGGTCCAAAAAGAGGTACACACATTGTCTTCATTGTCCTCTTTGTCCTTTTAGTTTAGCTCTCTCACTACTTATTTACAAACAAAAGAGTTTTGTTGTAAATTTGTAAAAGTCAGTGTGTCAATTACCAATTAAATATGACAGATACATTAGTGCTTCAGAGAGACCGGTTTCTCTGGCAAAAGTATACCCAGTATCTAAAGATAGTTGAGCGGAGACAAGAGGATGATACAGCTGCACACGTTAGACATTTTGGGTTATTTAAAACACTTGCATGGTTTAAACCGTGGTGCAGTATTCAGATTTGACTTTTATTTTTCCATTTCTAAAGGTCTCATATTTTAAAATGTTCAGGCTTTCTTAAAATCAGACTATGGTCCAGAAAAAGAGTTTTGTTCATTGTTTAGTTGAAAGTGTAGCTTTATGTGCAAGTTGAAGAAAGTTAACTACGGTAAACTTGAACACATCACATCCATCACTGGATACTTACTGGACACAGATATAAACAGCAGACACCTTGAGTTACTTTTATCTATAATATTGTGTAAACTTTAGTTCACATCTTTTTTTTTTTTTTTTTTTTCTCCTGAAGATTTCGTCCATGAGAGAAGAGGAAAAGGCTTTAAAGCAGAAGGTGGCTGACACGGAGAAAGCCAAGAAGCAGCTTCAGTCTGACCTCGCCAACAGAGACAGAACCATCCAGCAACTCAAAACGGTCTTTCACTTTTCCATTTTAAGAAGCAGTGTAGGTAGTTCTGGCACAACTTCACCTACTTCCAAGGTCTACAGACAAGGGAAAAGATCTGAAGAGGTCAAAGCACTTGTAGGAGTTTTGACCCCTCTAAACTTTTCCATTTCTCAGACCAAATCTCTGAAGGCTTTAGCTCTGTTTGCCCTGTTCACCCTCTTTGTGTTCATTCATGTTCCATCTTTATACTCTGCTCATCTCTTAATGACCTCCTCCGTCCCTCCTTTAGGAACAATCCTCTGACGCCAAGTCTGACCAGACACTCCAGCTCTACCAGAAGGCCTGTAAAGGTAAATGTGTGTCGCGATGAGTAGGGATGGGTATCGCTACTAGATACCTTTTGTGGTATCGAGCAAAACAGCCCAGTATCGAAACTGCCTGCACCCGCTTGTCCAAATCTATGCGTGATTTTAACAGGCTCTCACCTTTGGCTGCGGTCTCAGGCATGTTCGTCACTGTTGCAAGTTCATCACCACAAGCTTGGCTTATAATTCTCTGTTGTTTGGATGACCTAATTAGGATGAGGAGCGATCCGATACAATTTCCCAATATTTTTATAGAACAGTTAGGCCTATTTGAAAAAAGGAATAAAGAAAATGGATCGCCATGGTTGTCCATAACAACAGTAAAAATAATTTTAGGCTACCAGTCAACTACAGTGGCTTCAGCAGGTGGCATTTCACGCAAGGTATCGAATGAAGTACTGAAGTTGGTATCTGTATTACTGTAAGATACTAGTTTAGATACTGGTATCGTAAAATTTTAAACAAAACCCAACCCTAGTGATGAGTGTCTTTACTCCTTGATTAAAACACTAAAACTGCTGTTGGGAACTTATTTATGGAAAGGCAATGAAAAGGAGAGGACCTCCCTCAGGGATCAACATATATAGTGCATTTATTACTGTGTGGGTACCAGGGTGGTGTTCTGCGTCTAATCCTGCACCTGGATGGGTGTGTTTTTGTTGATTTGTAGACCTTGAAACCAAGGAGCGCGTGATGGAGGACATGCGTTTGGCACTGACGGAGCAGGAGGAGACGCAGGAGCAGATGGAGCAGGCCTTGGAGGAGAAACTTAACCTCATCCAGGAGCTCTCCAGCGGTAAGACAAAGGATCTGAAATATCAAAAGAAAGAACATGAACTGCAAACACAGACATTGTGACAAGAACGTGGATTTCATTGTTTTGAATTAAAAATATGTTTTGCCCATGGACAGCTTAGTCTAATCCTCTTATCCTGTCAAACTGCAGGGAAACAAAAAAGTTCATAAAACGCATTAAATTAAACTGAGTGAACTTGTATCCTCTCACAGCAGCAGCGCAGTTTTATTGGATACTAAAGTTAGGTCAGTAAGAGGACAGAAACACACAGGATGTAGGGTGTGACGTTATGGCTAACCACAAAAAGACGCGCACATGAAAACAGATACAATAAAAGATACAGCTGACTTTATCTGGCCCTTATTTCATTATGTTTACTGACAAAAACGGTAAAAAAAAAAGAGGAAAAGGAAACACAGAGAAGTGAGGAGTCAGGCTCATAGCACGGATAACACCAGGCCATCTGCCATAGCTTTAATATTGGTGGACTCACCACACAGGCTTATTTATCTTATATTGAGCTGAATTTCTTTTTAAAGCAGTAACATACCAATTTACAAAACAATTGGTTAAAAGTTTGCATCTCTAAAACTATAAATAAATAGTAAGATTTAAAGTATGAATCGAGTCTGTCACTTAAGCAAAGACAATACATTTGGTCCTACTTACTACACAGGTGGAAATGCATCTTGACCAGGGAACATGACAAGTTATGCTGAAGTTATATAAAGTTATACTTTAAGTACTTGTTTCGTCTTTGAATGCAAGTATTGATTCTCTGGTTTTAATGATTTCAGAGGTGGAGAAGTTGAAAGGGTGTTGTTGCAGCAGAATTGCGGAAGCAACGCCCACCGTCAGGTCAACAGCCCGTCAGATGACCTCAAACTGGCCCAACAGGAAGCTGCCCAGGTTCAGGAAAGCTTGAAGGTAATGAAGTCTTTTTCACCTGTTGTAATTGTACATCAACTCTTAAAAAGAGGGGGGGGGGAATCAATGTGTAGACTGTTTTTTTTTTTTTTTTTTTTTTTTTTTTCTCTTTCAACAGGAAATAAATGCACAGCTCATTCATTTTTAACACACATCCTTGTAAAAAAAAAAAAAAAAAAAGTTTTAAATTACCATTTGTGTACAGCTGTGTACAGAGAAACATCAGGCCGAACGCAAAAAGTGGCTGGAAGAGAAGCTGTCCCTGATCGGCCAAGCTAAAGAGGCTGAGGACAAGAGGAACCAGGAAATGAGGAAATTTGTGGAAGACCGAGAACGCTACACTCGGCAGCAGAGCCAGTTGGTAAGACGAAGATCATATGAAAACATGCTTTACATGTGAACATGCCACCATATTAGCATTAATCTCAAAGCACAACTGAGCCAAAGTACAACTGCAGCTAAAAACGTCTTAGACTGGCAAACCAAGTGTGGGTTTGCCAAAATGGCCACCATACAGAGGACAAACCATTTTGATTTGGGTAACACGGGCTCTAATATTCTTGTTTCTCACTTCTCCCTCACAGAATACAATATAAAACCAGTATTTTCCATCAAAGATACATTTACATGTTTCCTGTTTGTCAGGAGTCCTTGTCGTCCCAGCTGGCTGAAAAGGAGCAGGCCATGGAGAAGTGGAGGAAGGAGAGAGACACTCTGGTAGCAGCTTTGGAGGTCCAGCTACAGAAGCTTCTCTCCAGCCAAGCAGAGAAAGACAAACTCATCCAACAGCTGCGCCAAAATAACACACAACCACCACAAGAGGTCAGTATGACATAATGATAAGAGATACAGGGACCACACACAGATATGTACACTTATTACATTAAAAAGACTGACCATGTGAAATTGGGTGAAACACCTTCAAATGTGAGATATGCAGTTCAGTTAAAGGGGAGATGGAAATGAGATGGAAGAGGAAGGTTAAAAAAGGTGCTTTAAGAACCAAGTGTTAATGCGCAGACTGTGCTGTCTCACATCCCTTAGTCTGATAAGATCCCTCTTCTGTATAAAGTCCCTAGGCTTTTAATGGATTATTCAACCTTCAGTAACAAAAACTTGCTGCTCTCCTCTATTTGAAACGTCCTCTTGTGTTTCACCCCTGTCGACGCTCCGTTCAGTGATGTCAGAGCAATTGGTACCCATCATCTGTCAAGGCAAACACATGCTGTGGCGTTATTGAGGGGTTTAGCCAGAGGTGAAGCTTTACTGAAAGTTTGAACCTGTAGAGTGCTCCTATCAACAATTTTCTGCCCCATTCATTCAGTGTGTTTATTCACCCTTAAGATAGGATTATTGGTAGAGCAGAACCCAAATGTTGTGCAGGGAAAGAGGCTGAAAAACATCCCTCAGCCAGCCAATTAGACAGATAAGGATAAATAAATGTGTTAATGTCTTTACTAATTCATTTCTGTAATGCTGCACAGCAGAGCATTTGATGCAGAGATTCTGTCATTTTGTCATACATTTGGGCAGCTTATTGACCTTGGTGCCACTATTCATTCATCTGCTTTTCTTTCCGTCTCTGGTAAAT